CACTATAAAGAACAAGAGATGGTAAGATGGTTAAATTGTTATTATTATTTCATTGCTGAGATCTGTGATGTACTCTCAATACACTGACAGTGCCATAATCAGTTCCATTAGGCTACACCGCCGTTCCAAAACATGGGTATACAGAATGTCAAGTCACAGAATAAAATGCGAAATTTCACAGTTCAATATCGTGTATGGCCGCCCCGCGCATTCACCACTGCCAAACACCGTCTCCTCATCGACTGCCTGATGCTTGTGAACACGTGGTTGGGGATTCTGCGCCATTGCTCTTGCAAGGCAGCGCCAAGTTCCTGCAAATTCTGAGGTTGGTTCCTAAGACCACGAAGCCTTCTCCCAAGTGCATCCCAAACGTGCTCTATTGGGGACCTCGATGGCCAGTCCATGACGTTGATTCCAGCGTTTTGAAGGAAATTTCGTGTCAACATCGCGGTATGCGGCCGAGCATTATCATGCTGGAACTGTAGACCTGGGCCATGAGCCGCCATGAAAGGAACGAGTTCAGGGGTGAGCACCTGGTCGCGGTAAGCAGCAGCTGTGAGGTTTCCACGGATGACCAGAAGTCGGGAACGGTTGTTCCACAAGAAAGCACCCACACCATGCAACTTCCGCCCCCGAATCTTTTACTTCTATACACAACATTGGGCATACCGTTCACGACGTCGTCTCCAGACTCTATGCCTGCCGTCCGCGCATCTGAGGGTAAACCTGGATTCATCGCTAAAGACGATTCGATTCCAGTCTCTCTGGGTCCATCGGAGGTGACGTTGGGCCCACAGCAGACGTTGACGTTGATGAAACGGCGTCAATATTGGCCCACGATATGGACGTCGAGAATGGAGATTGGCAGCCCGCAACCGATTTCGAATGGTCTGTGAGGACAGTCGACCTCTAAACATCTCAGCCCTGGTTCGTGTAGCCGGCAGAAATCTGTCACGTAGGTGACGTAGGACGATTTGACGGTCTTCTGCTCGTGACGTCACACGTGGACGACCTATTTACAAGTGAACGCTACCTTTGCTTACCTTTTCTTGAGAACTCTCCTTTAGCATTCAGGATCTAAAAGATAGTTAGAAAGGTATACGTTTTACAGTAAAGGAAACAAAGAATTATATAATTATCATAATACTTCAGGGAATTGTCCGTAGTATATTATTTCAATGTTTTGCCTCTACCTGTATTAACTGTGTGGGTTCTATGCGTCCCATCTTGAAGGTTCTGTTCCCACTTCGATTTTGATTGAACTCCTGCATATCCATGGTTGTGTTTCCAAACTCCAGAGCCTCTTGCAAGGTCATGTAGACACATTTGTACTGGTCCTGAAGTAATAATGAAACGACCGTTGACATTCGTGAGTTTATGCAAATGTGAGACATACAGTTCTTCTGTGGACTGTTTGCTTCATATGTATTCTTACAGTACAACCAGAAATTATTGAGAATTTAAAGATTGTAACTCACGTATTAAATGTGCATTTTCGCAGAACATAACTCCAGATTCAAAGACAGGTGAACAGTTAGTATTTTGTCAAATCACCATGGGCAGCAATGCAGGCTTCAATGCCGCGGGGCATACCACTGATCAAAGAAGTTAGAAAGTCGTGGGTCCATGCTGGCCCAGTATCGGACCACCCTTCTTTCATTTCAGCAATATTTGTCAGATTTTTCTTATTGCCACTTTCCTTCATAAAGTACCCAAACATTTTCCCAGTTAAAATTTATATGCTGTAAGCACCAGTTCAACCTTCGCTCCTTTTGTTCAGGTTTCATGATCGGTGAAGGAATTCATCGACTTTTCTGCCAACCCATTGCATGCGGCTCAGTTCTAATTGTCTCCTTACAGACAGACACAGTTCCTCTATCAATCATATCCAGCCTTAAGTTTTCTAAAACCCCTTCGTTTGTCTTTAGAAACAAGAATACCAAGCCGCCTCCTGTCACCGACAGTCAATTTTCTGGGCCTACCTGCGCCTCCCTGGTACTCAGTGCCATATCCATTTGCAACATATTTTTCAAAACACGATAAACAGTGGACAAAGGGATGCCTGTTCTGCACTTGAAAGCACTTTAGCTGATCTGATGTCCTTGTTATAATACTCTAAAATCAACTTCCTCTTCTCTAAATCATCCATACTGAGGATCACTGAAAATGTCGTCTGCTAGCAAGTAAACAAAGGGGATAACTCTTCACAAAATAATGAAAAGGATTAACGGAGTTGTCTCTCTTGAATGAAACCAAGCACTTGATAATGGTCAAGGTTGTTTATACTAGAAATCCAATTAAACATATTCCTAAAATTCTCAATAATTTCTGGTCATACTATATATAGAACATCGGTGCAAAACGAACATTCACATTGAGATGAAACTCTTACCTTGGTCTGTATCATGCCCTTCCTCTGGTCTCTCATCTTTGAGACACAACCAAACACATCGACCTTATCTACAGCCAGAGCCTGGTCCAATAGGTAGTCCACAGCGATGTAGGTTCCTGTTCGGCCGATCCTGCACTGGGGTTAAAATTATTATCGTTCATGTTTATGGCATCTGCGTGTCCGAACAAGTGATTTATACACTATTCATGAGAAAACGAATAAATGAACAAATGCTGCCAATATTACGCACCAAAAAGAAATGAACGAATTTTTGTCTGTACATGCTGTTACACTTTTGATGTGGGTTACCAAAATAGATGATAGTTCTTTATAAGTGTAACAATTCAGGGTGCAATTCTTTAATTTCCCTACCTGCAGTGCACCAGTAGAGAGTCATCTTTTGTGATGGGCGCTTTCCTTACCAGCCACAGAAACTCAGTCAAGGCGGTCTCCTCGGGTGTCCCATGATCCGGCCAAGTTGTAAAATGGAATTGGTTGAAGCACCGACAAGTGCTGGTCTTCGAGCATGCAAAAATTTACGTGAGGATTAAGTTGTTAAAAAAGAACTGCATTATGATAGTAGCCATTAATTCTAAATAGTATTGCTTCGCATAATGCTGAACACATCATTTCAGTAGTGTAGGCTATAGCCACTGACCATATTTCCAACCAGGGGTTCCTTTCACCAAGCAACCTTTAATAAGGTTAACCTTAACTCCCATTAGTTAACAGTGCACTTAGGCTACTTTACTGACTTAAGATGACCATAGTGCTTTGTGAAAGGAGACCCCGATTTATATATATACTCTCCCAAAAAAGAAACGCATCGTGAAAATAGCAATGTCATGTAGCAATGAATTAAAACGTGATTCATTTTACAAAAGGTTTTGCTCTGTTTATGAGTCCTATGGTGTTTATGTTTTGAAACATCACAACAAAACGCACCATCCCTAAAATATCCGTATTTAACAGCATGATTTTCAATTTCGGCGTGTAGTGTCACAGAATACACAATTCACTTGCAATGCACGTGAAAGTTGGGGATCAGATAGTCTCAATGATGGGTATAAAAGGTTGATCGCTGTCTGTCGATTATTCACTGTATTTGGAATATTGTTGACGAACGCAAAATGCCACGTCTAAGTGAAGCCAACCGTCATATCGCCATTGGTTTGCTTGAAGCTGGCCAGTCTCAACGTGCAGTTGCCCGACGCATGAATGTTCACCAAAGCACCATTTCACGGCTCTGGGAGAGATATCGCCGGCAGAATGCGGTAGCATCCGGGTACATCACCTGCGTCATCGAACAGCTACGGCGACCAGTACCGCTCGACAAATACCCGGATTGAGGAGGCTTTCTGCACCGACCGTCAGGAACAGGTTGAGAGAGGCTGGTTTACGTGCCAGAAGACCATATTTTGGCCCTGTGCTTCGACAACAACATCGTCGACATCGAGTTCAATGGTGCACCAACGTTCAGGCCTCGAACCTACCGAATTGGCGTAGAATCTGGTTCAGTGATGAATCACGATTTCTATTGGAACGACGCGATGGAAGAATGCGGGTGTACAGACGTCGACGTGAACGTTTCGCCGACGCTTGCGTTCCCCAGGTGGACAGATTCGGCCGGGACAGTGTTATGATGTGGGGGGCGAGCACCTGCCGTAGGAGACCACACCTCCTTCCAATCATTGATCGCCAGAGGGAGTTGTTTCAACAGGACAATGCCAGGCCCCTCACAGCACGTCACACTAGAGACTTCCTCCAGAACCACAACATCAATGTGCTCCCCTGGCCCTCAAGATCACCGGACTTAAACCCGATCGAACATCTGTGGGATGCCCTGGACAGACGGGTGCGACGCCGTAACCCTCAGCCCCAGACACTTCAGCAACTCGCACAGGCACTACAGGCAGAGTGGGCTGCGATTGGGCAACACGAGATTCTGAGACTTATTCGTTCGATGCCGAGGCGATGCCGTGCAGTTCTGGATGCCCACGGTGGTCACACGAGGTATTGACTTCAGCGCCACCACACGTCTCCATATGACACTCAAACTGACTTTCCTCGAGTTGGTGCCAAAGACGGATAAGTCTGCATTCCCAGTGTGCAATTTCGCTATATTTCATTGACTCATAAAGCCTACAAGATGTTTCAAAATAAACATAAAATACAGTTGAAATTCCTATATGCGTTTCTTTTTTGGGAGAGTATATTTACCTTCATATCTGTGACTTGTAGTTCTCTGACGACCCAATGTGCTCGCTGACTGGAGTTAGTTACAACGATGTGGAAATTCCCCACAGTCAAATCTCTTTTGTCCGACCAGTATGTTACACACTTCACCTGACACATGAATTGGCATGTTACAGTATGTCCTTTACTTCTTAGCACTGATACACAGGTGGACCTAAATTATGTCCGCAAACTCAAAATATCGGTCCGAGATTCAGTGATATTAAAGAAATTCCGCCTTGCGTCTATTTCAAAATGGTCAAAAATTGTCTTGAATTGTTGAACACTGTTTACTGTTTTATTTACTTCAAACTTATCATGGACAATAAAAGGCTATGTTTACTCTTATAAGAGTACTCAGTGAAATAGGTACATACTGACCTTTCCCATCTCCATGAGGTTAGTCAGCATGATGATTCTTGTACAGTTCTTTTCCCAGATCAACCTCCAGAAGTCAGTCAGCGTCTGTTCAGTAGGACCTGTGCAAAGGTGAGTGAGTGGAGTGAGTTAACATTTAATGTCACCTCGTCAATATTTCTGCCATATAGTGACGGGAAATACTGTACATACACAATAAATGCAAGTAGTTAAATAACCAGTCATGGACGGACTGTAAAATAACTAGAGTATCACAAAAAGAGTTAAAACTAGCTGGCATGCATCTTTAAAAGTAGAAACCTATTTTAAACATCTCCTCTCAGGAGGACAATAACTTTACGGTACTTCAACCTCCCTTGACGATACCACCATTAACAATCTGAGTTGCTAATTTAACTACCAATGATAAAAATACAGATCTGTACCCTGCGCAAAGGATGTACATATATAGATGACAATTGCCCCTGGAGGACAACAAACGATTCATGACTTATAGAACCTCAATTGTACAGGATCATTTTTTTACTGATTTTGTGGACTGATTTCTTCTTACAATGTCATTGTCACCGACCAGACAGAGTTTCATAGATACAATACAGAGAAGTGACGGTACCTTGCGCTGCAATGTAGGCTTTAGGTTGGGAGTAGCCCTGAAACCAGAAGTGGGAGAAGTTCCGGTACAATACACACTACACTACATCGCATAGTACTTAACGATGCCCAATGTCATTAAAGGTAAACAGTATAACAATTCCATCAGTTAATGTTAAATCCTACTAACGTCTATGTAGCTGGCATTTATGTAGTCAGAACCAGGCTTGTCTGGCAGTGTTTGCAACCTGACCCGGGTGTCATCATCTGGAATATAGGAAACATGGCCATGAAAGAGAGACGTCTTGTGTACTTAAGAGGAGACAATAGCGAAAAATGTTACACAGGTCACATCTAAATTATTGCAAGTATCTCTCTTTCTCAGTCAATCAAACCAACTGATTTTACACATTTCTCTTGTTCTATATTACCACTGTCTAAAATGAGCTGTTTAGAAAATACAGTAATACCTACATGGGTAATAATTAAGGAATCTGTTTTTCCGTTTGTTGACATCTCGCTGAGAGTCGTTGTAGGAACGGGTGAAAGTAGTTGGTAGCTTCTGGAAATCAATTCGTATCAGGTTACAGGAGTGATTCGGTAGGGTACAATGAGTGAAATATGAAGTCCTAATGTATAGTTAAAATGAATAACATTATTAAACCACAAAGAGTGCCAGCTGACCATTAATGAGAAAACGGATCGTAGCTTTGTGGCCAAAATTGCTTAATCATAAACTACATATTGTAAATCACAAAAAATATGAAACATATTATTTGTAAATTTCATGTCAAAGGATTGTCTCATCATGACGGTCACGGCGTTAAACACGCAACAAACAAACCAACCATCCATGTACCTGATACTCTGCTTGGAATCCCCGACGGGCACCTGCAGCTCCTTGATCCGATCCCCAGCTGATCTACGGACACCAATGTTACTGCAGGAGCACTTGTTATGTTGTAGTACGTATCACTGTGGTCGTCCTTCACATCATCCCTCTCCGCGTCGTCCTCGTTCGCTTCCTCCACATCTACTGCACTGGTGCATACGAGGTCATGCTTCTCGCCCACATCTAAAGCACTAGTGCATACAGTGTCTTCGTTCTTGTCTACATCCATAGCACTCGCATACACAGGTTCATGGTTCTCGTCCACATCTACTGCATTGGCATACTCAAGGTCGTGTTTCTCGTCCACATCTATAGTACTGTCATACACAGGGTTTTCCACCATGTATAGAGTGTCTTCTGTTGCTCAAATAACATGAAGCGAATTATTGAACGCATCGAATGGAAATCAGTGGACACAATTATTCTAATATAACATATTTAACATTTGAAGTGAATTATTAAACTCATTGATTGGAAGTCAATCGACACAATTATATACATATATACAATATATAACATATGATTGAAGGGAATGTGTTGGTGGTGATGACTGCAATTTCTCCATCTACTAAGGCATATGATCCTATGAATTGCAGTTTAGTTTTCAACTGATAAGAAACGGAATATGTTTTACAGATGACAACTTGTTTATAATGTTATGATTTGACATTTCGGTTTAAATTCTATGGCATTGTACAAAAGAGAATGTATACCGAAACGTTGCATCATAATATAACAAATAAGTCATAAAGTATACCAGATCTGGTTTAAGCAATGATGAATAACCCACATAATCCTAACGGTTCTTATAGAGGATGCAGAAAACATTACTCATATCCACGACAGTTCAATGTGATTCTCTGTTATTCCTTTATACGGACCTGTTTGCTCTTGGGATATATCTGCATGTTTATCTGTTTTCGTTGAGTGTGGATGTCTCCGCCGTCTTCGTATAAGAACGAAATGCATTAGTACAATTTATTGTGTACATAGAGAACAAACATGGTATTGTATAACCAACACACTTAATGGCCTCATTGTAGAACCAGAATGGCTAACCGTTCCCTTATTGTCTAAAATCCATGTGATGTTTGACATGAGGCAGATATATTGCTTGGTATTGGTGCGGCTTCAAAACATTAATCACTAAATCACACTTTGTTTGATTATGCATACAATATAAAGGTACCTACGAGGCACATAACCCTTATGATTCAAATTAATAATGTATGACTAGGATAGTCGTATCCATGCACACTCGTGAACACTTTACTTTTGCAGTGAGTGAGTGAGTGAGTGATATTCAATATTTCAGCTACATGGCGGCGGTCTGTAAATAATCGAGTCTGGACCAGACAATCCAGTGATCATCAGCATGAGCATCGATCGATCTGCGCAATTGGGATACGATGCCATGTGTCAACCAAGTCAGCAAGCCTGACCACCCGATCCCGTTAGTCGCCTCTTATGACAAGCACGTATTACTGAAGATCAATTCTAAAGTGTCGTGTGAACTGTGACAAAGACCAAAATACTATGGCATTATCCACGATGTTTCGCTAGTATAAATAGTCAAGTGAAAGCATTATTAATTGTCACAATTCATATACTATATCAAGATGTCCTTCGTACCTGAGTAAGACAACGACGGTAACAACAATGGCTGCTACAAAAGCTGGAACCTACAGAGCCTGCTATGACTCCTATATTGGACGATGGTGTTTCAACCAGCTCTAGAAGAGAAGCAAGAACATCTATCTTAAGCATTATATAGCACATTTGTACACAGTTGCAGACATTAAAGATTAATTAATAACACCATTGTCTTAGAAGAACAAGGCATTCCTTGCTTATTCACTACTTCATTGCGCTGCTGGTTATCAGAATGCAGATAAACATATTTTTCTTGTCAGTCGGATGACACGTGTCCTACGTTAACCATATTGTCAATCTAATGTTTCCATTTGAAAGGAAAATAGTGGTGACAGTTTTATAAAACTCTGTGATCACATCAAGTGTTACTGAAGGATATGCTAAATCATATATGCTATGTATGTGCTATGTTCAGCTGGCAGTAACTGAATATCAACTCTAATTAGTTGAACATGTTTGCAAGTATTTCGAGGGTTATTCGATGACTGTAAAGTAATTTGGACTTGACAGTTTTATAGTTATTTGGGAAATAATATTGACGCTTGTCATATACATGAATATTGACCCTTTGCCATGCACGGGGAACATGTCCGCCATTAGAATGTAGCCATGTCATAGTACGTGATGGTACGTGACAAATGATGATTAAATGACAAGCTAGGTCTGTCTATGAAAAATTCAGATGCACTACAGACCTTTTCTTACACACTCACTTACGAAAGGCATAGCTGTACCCGAGGCGAAAGCGACCTCATGAATGTCGTAATACTATATACATCTTATTACACGATAAATGCCATGGTGGGTCATGTGGTTCAAAGTAGCCGGTGGGGTAGCCTAGTGGTTAAAGCGTTGGCTCGTCACGCCGAAGACCCGGGTTCGATTCCCCACATGGGCACAATGTGTGAAGCCCATTTCTGGTGTACCCGCCGTGATATTGCTGGACTATTGCGAGTGTGATTGAAGGACTGAAGAAGTATTGAATATTTTACTTTGTGTACATGTCTGGTGAGTCCATCCGTCGCTGCATCCCGTGAGGCAGCTTCCGTTGACATGGTGACAGTCGCTGGCGTCACGACATTCTCCACATTCTCCAGTACAGTTGACACCGAATGAACCAAGACTACAGACTGGAACGTTGGTGAATAAACATCTACACATTACATTTGGCACACAAAAGTTGCGGATATTGATATTGTAATGTGTTCTATGATATTCATTTAGCACATCATACATGTACCGCCCTATCAAAATGTACTCTGAATGTAGGAATTTGTGTCGAGGATAGCAAGTGATTAAATGTTGTGTTAGCTTGCAGTTGGGAATATTTAAACATAAATTATGTAAATTATGGAGAATGGGTAAGAGAAAGTAGTAAATATTATTAAACACGTCCTATGCCGTCAAGGTACGGTAATCGGTGACCACTGGATATTTATAAGTAACCCCGTTTTTATTTTCAGTGGACTTAAACACACTGATCAAGCAGTAAAAAGCAATCATCCACTTTTTAAGCATCCTTCATGTTTCGTGATTCCCCCAATGTTAGATCTTCACATTGCTCCAAGTAGCCGTGTCTGACGTGACAGAAGCCGTATGTAAGGAAACGTTTATTTGTGTTTAACACACTATAACTACGTTTAGTCTGAATATTATTATTGTTACAATCTGAAATATATTTTTGAAACCAAACATAGTTTCGATGCTTTCATTAAGAACCCGTAGCAGGTTTGATACAAATTGTTGTTGACTCTTACCCTGTGAACAGTCTTCACCCTGCCACCCCGACTCACAGCTAGAATCACACCGTCCTGTATCTTTGGGACAGATGCCCGACCCTCCTTCACACATCCGGGCACTGCAGTTACCCACACAGTCAGCTCCGTACTCTAACCCTGGGTGCACACTGCATGTAAAGAAACTGACTTTAGCCTTCCATGTAACTATACACGATTTACTTGGTTTGCCTTTGGACTTGTTTGTGGAGGACAGGAAAGTATATGCTCACCTCACTGAGAACTGCATCTAACATACCTACGAGACAGTGACTCGTGTAAATATATGCTCGTGGTGTTGTTGGAGCTGGAGAACGTAGCCTACATTTGCCTTAGTAATAGGTTAGGTTAGGTTAGGTCTTTTCGTTTTTGGTTGTGTGGGTTTGTGTGTCTGGGTGGGTTGGGTGGGTTGGGGTGGAGGTGTCTTTTCTTTACATACTTATTCCACGGGCATCTTGCAAATGGGCCCAACATTGTAACCTGCCAGTATGTATGTCTACCTATATACGTGTGACGTTCCTTTACTGTTATGTGTCGACACGTTTTTCGTTTTTTGGTTGTGTGGGTGTGTGTGTCTGGGTGGGGTGGGAGGTGGGGTGGAGGGGTCTTTTTTTACATGCTTATTCCACGAGCATCTTGCAAATGGGCCCAACAACATTGTAACCTGCCAGTATGTATGTCTACCTATATACATATGACGTTCCTTTACTGTTATGTGTCGACACGTTTTAGACCCTTTAGGTGTTATCAATTCCTAACTTGCATTAGCCTTGATCTGGCTGAAATACTGTTCACATACTCACAGATGGGTTGACCCGTGAAGATCCGGGTTAGAATTGGTCTTCAGCGACCCATGCTTGTCGTAAGAGGCGACTGACGTGATCGGGTGGTGACTTGGTTGACACATGTCATCGTATGCTCATGCTGGATTGTCTGGCACAGACTCGATTATTTACAGACCGCCGCCATATAGCTGGAATATATTGCTGAGGGCTGCATAAACTCACACACTCGCATTTGAGTCCCGCTTATACTGATATCTCCTTTAGCTTTTCTTCAATTTGCATTAACAGTGTGATAAAGTGGGTAGACTAGAAAGGATTCTATCCAAGACCAAAGATCGAATCTGACCTGTTGTACAGTCATTGTCCTTCCAGCCGGGCTTGCAGCCTCCGTCACACTTCCCCGTCACGTGATCACAGCTGGATGACGACGTTCCACTGCAGTTTCTGGCAGAGCATAGGCGAGCACAGTTGTCTCCGTAGGTAACTACGCACTCTGAAACGATTTGATTAACACAATAGCAGAGAGGGAACATGTGAACTCTGATTATAAACACTTCATCTGTGGTTGGGTTAGCTTGTCGCGTTTGAGATACTTGAGGGGCGGGTGGGGCAGCCGAGTGGTTAAAGTGATCGCTCGTCTCACCGAAAACCCGGATTCGATTCCCCACATGGGTACAATGTGTGAAGCCCGTTTCTGTTGTCCCCCGTCGTAGTATTGCTGGAATATTGCTAAAAGCGACGTAAAACCATATTCCCTCACTCACTTGAGGTACTTGAAGAACACACCAGCCAGATCGATAAGGTTAAATGTATTGGAAATAATGTTATTAAACTCGGGTTCTTACTCTGTGTGCAGTCTATTCCATTCCACCTGCCTTGCAGCCGCCAACACACTCCCCCGTGGATCTGTCACAGCTAGAGTTGTCGCCCTTGCAATTCCTGTCTGAACACTTCTGATTGCAGTTTGTTCCATAACTGCCATAGATACACGCTGAAAACATAACGTTTTTCATGTTCAGTGAAACAACCATATTTCTAATCCCAGTTACCTCCTTCCTTTGATTCTTTTGAATATTTGTAAAAACTTTTAAACTTGTAACTTGTTCAAGTCTGAAATTATATGTATTCTCAGTGTATAAATAGTTTTAAATCTTATTTGTGCAAAGACTGGCTGTCCAAAAAAGTGACCAGTCCTGCGGCAAGCCGAGAAATGTTCGTAACATTTTAGTTTACCGCCATTAGACAAGTATTGCTGGAGCGTAGTATGACCACTGGAAAAAAATCCATCTTTCCAAGCTTGGAAATGTCTTGGAAAGATGATGTTTCCAAGACATTTCCAATTTTGGAAAGATGATGTTTCCAAGACTTTCCAATTTTGGAAAGATGATGTTTCCAAAAATTTCCAATCTTGGAAATATCCGCAAGGGGAGATAACTGGTGGGTGATGGTAAATTATTGTTCTGCATGGGCTAATTGCAATAGTGGCATGGGGCGGCATGAGTGTTTCATGGGGTCGTTAAGGCGACTGGCGGTAGTCTCTGATGTTTGGTGTTGTTTTAGTAATGATTGTTTAAGGGGTTAACGAAAGGATTATCGACTTGACTACTCAGAAATTGCAGTGAACACATTTTAAGTGTTCAATGTTGTGGAGTGAAAAGTGAATTTGTCACGTTGAGTTTAAATATGTATCATCATAAGCTTATATCTAGTCAGTGAGAGTTACTTTCGTACAAGGGCCACCGACCCGTTTTACAATTATAAAGATGAAAATACAATCCAGCGCCATATATAATATTAAGCTGTATGCTTTAACGTGTACAATGTCTAATTTAATCTTATACTCTATATTCAAAACTTCGCTCTTTTTGTCAATGTTTCACATGGATTATTTATGTAGTATTGTGGGAGAAGGCTGTGTTACTCAGATCACAGTATAATGAACATTCCAATAAAGAATTGGTACTGTGATTCAATGGTAAGTCACAATACACAGAGGGCGAGAATCACTCATGTTGTTTTATATTTACTTTCGCCCTTATTCCAACATTAAAGGATGGTCTGAACAACGAAACTTACTCAAAGCAAAGCAGATCGTTTCGTTGCTGTCAATCGTTGCGTTGCCGTCCTGGGGTCGAGTGATGGTGTCACCATGCACTAATTTCCACCGGACCCCGCAGTTCGTGCTAAATCATTTAGTAAATGAGTTATGTTTGTGAGTGCGAAACAAGCGTTGTGGAAGCTTGGAACGATATCTTAAATTTGTCCAGATAAGCTTCGCGGAAGTTAAAGAATCAAACTACTTACTACTTGTAGTACAATATATATATGATTGATGACCAAACATATTTTCCCATGACAACAACCCTTGAAGCATAAAGATTTCTTTCTCGGAAGCGAGACCGTGGTGGAAGTGACAATAATATTGTAAAGTAGTGTTATATTGACACCACTCGCTGCCTCGAGAGAAATTGTTATGATATAAGATATAAGTCACGCAATCCTATTGGATTATCAATCAAATACATATTGTACTACCAGTAGAAAGTAGTTTGATTTTGTAACTCGGTGAAAACAAACCTAAATAGCATTTATTATTCTCAGACTCGCGGATGTTCGCGACAGTGCGCTGCCATTTTTAATAATCGTAACATGACGGGCTAAAAGTCTGTTAAAGAATTAATATATAGAGATTATGGTTTGTTTTCATCAAGCTAGAAAAGCAAAACTACTTTCTACTCGTAGTTAAATATGTATTGGAATCATAAGCCAACAAGATTTGGCATGACACAACTTATAACATAACGATTTCTTCCTCGGAAGCGAGGTGGGGTCGAAGTGACATACTGCGCAATAAATATCTTGCTACATTCCCATGGTTAATGTCCACTCACCAGTATGTAGATACTAGTCAACGTGCGTCTTCTATTTGGTCTTATAATCCCAATTGGTTTATTATCAGGCGATCTGCCTTTACTTATAACTTGAATATCTAGACATTGTAAATCATAATTCGCACACACGCCCTCTAGTGTATGTTTGTCTGTCCTATTTACTTCACGACGAAATCATGGATTCTGTGGAATGCTGCGACAAATGAATAAAACAAAATGCAATTATTAAAACTAAAACAGGTAGTTATAATGATGTCAGGCTATTACTTTGTTCGGAGGAATGTATCCATCAATATCCACAAAGAAACAGAGCCGTATGTCATTCACCTGCAGCTGTTCCAAATGATGTGTCTTTTAACAGTCTAATACATGTTCACGAAAAGTGATATATCGTTTCAGGTATTTCACATTGGTATATAGTCGCATTGGTCACCCAAGATAGCATACCTGAAGACTAATTGCATAATCTCCGCCATTCTTTACAAAAAGTAATTTAGTTAGCCAATAATGAGAATCAATGTCTTGGCGGTTAATCTTTGAAAGATGGAAGTTGTTTTACGCAGACACAGATTGTCGACAGAGTGCATTTAGTATTGATTAGTAAAATGTACATACATAAACACTACCTTTTGACAAATCCGCTGTAAGATAAAAGTATGGGTTAATCCTTTGATCGATGTTTATACTGTTGAGTATTTACTCCAGACACAAGAAATGCCAAATGGGAACCTTTGTCGAGTTATCTAAGTGGTGTTACCACTAATTATACCTGTTATAAATTCATTAACTGACCATCAAGTGAATGATGACAAATGACATAATGTAGGTTTTATACCACCTAACACGGGTTACAACAAGGAGTATTAATTGCTGTACTGCATGCAATTTTAATTGCATGTGAAAACCTATGGGCCGACACTATTTTGAGAATACGGACAGAACTTCATTGTTGCAAAGAAATACATATAAGCATTTGCTGTGTGCTAAAACTGTATTTACCTATTTACCTATGTAAATTTTCAGAGTCTTCTAGCAATAGCAAAGTGCAAGGATGTGTTAAAAGGAATAACACAGTCGTCAAACGGTTGCTGTTCGAATTGCATGAAATATGCAAAAGCATGACATATTCAAGAACAATGTTTCCAATTTTGGAAATATGAGATCCAAAAATGTGGCCAATTTTGGAAATGTCCACAAGGGGAGATAACTGGTGGGCGATGGTAAATTATTGTTCTTTGCACGCCCAGGACCTAATCCCTTGTTGATTGATGAGTGAGTCAAGGCAGTTAAGAGTCACCAATTAACAAGGCCTACTGCCTTGTCCTCCTTTATGCCTCTTAAAGAAGTCTCTGGAAGTAAGTTAAATCTTTGATGGGCATTAAGAAGTGGAATGCATTACTGTGACCTGATTTTCACCTGATGAAGGAGACAAAGCATATGCTCCGAAACTTCGTGTTATTCACAATAAAGAAGTAGACATCCATAAATCTTGTTTTTCTTATTAAAAAGGTAAGTTATAAAAATCTACTGAGGCTGTAGGTTTGTTAATCATGTCGCGATGTGATTATCGCTCTAACACACCTGAGAGATTCGTCAACAGTGTGGTATGCACAGGCGGTGAAAAATTGTATTGTATTACATTGGGTTGGTTTATATTGTTAACATTATTCCATGGTCAATATCGCAATGTTTCTTGAAATGGTAGTATACGGAAGTTTGTTCCACATTTTGATAATTTATAGAGTGATTCTTATCAAATTAGATATTTCTTTATCGTCCGAACAGAATTCACAAATTACGGATGTTTTGTGTGTGTGTGTGTGTGTGTGTGTGTGTGTGTGTGTGCATGCACGCGTGTATAACATCTATAACTTGATAGGGTATTAATTAAAATCAGGCCGATTGTAACCATAATGACTATATTGGATGGAACCTTCCAAGAACAAAATAATTTCACTCTTCAAAAGGAACTGGAACAGTAACATTTTTCATGTTTTCATATGAGCTTCAAAACATTGAATGCACATAAATGCTGTATGATGAAATGGATCAGAGAACATTAGAATGGCATACGTGACGTGTGAATGACACGTGCGCAATGAATCAAAATATATATAATCACTATGTTAGTTGACTCATGACCAGACACGTCAAGCTGGTACCGATAGATTTATATCTATTATGTAAAAATTCAGTATTTCTTAGTACCTGAAATGAAAACACGACTTTGGAATGAGATGTTTTAATCTGAGATTAATCTGTTAGGTAGCAGTTTACTTAAGTAGAACTTAAATCAACTTCAAGATTGGCCATTCGCAAAGTGAAGCAGATTTCACTTATACTGCAGTAAACAGTATGGGGATACACAACGAAACATACCCCTTTATGTGATAACAACTCCTGTTTATTGCATAGAGCGGCATGTCGATGTACAACGTTCAGGATAGACAAGCTGATTGAATGTTGATTGATTCCATCACTTGGACAAAGGAGTGGATTTAGACTTGTTGATCTTACTCTCCTCATGCCCCAACGATGTGCTACGTGCTGAATCACCTGGTGTTAATTTGCTGCTAGTCACTATGCATATATACTTCTGTTCACCTGGTAACTGTTATCATGTTGATAACGGCGTGAGAATATACATGGAAACTGCCCTCTATCGACCTTTGGTCCAAACAGATGAGTTAAGAGAAATGTTGATGTCCGTCCGTTAGCAAATTAACGATGGATTATAGAGACAATGATAGGCCTACGTGTTGATAGAAGAGGATATTCCGGATTATGCGAATGAGAGCACACCTAATGAGAAAACAGCCAAAATATATGTATAAAGATAGTGTTTCATTTCAGTCTCAGCATATAAACATTGAAATATAAAACACATAAAAAACATAGAAGGCGTAAGCCACGAGTGGTAACGGGAGACTATATGGACAGATTTTATTTAATCATGTTACAACATGCTACATATTATAGGATTTTTATAAATATATTATATTACATCATATTATGAAATGTTTCAAAATATTACATAATTATAAATATACATACACATTTATAAGTACATTATAAATATATTAAAGATGTGAAAGAAGAG